AGAGGTTGACATCAGCTCCGATCCTGGCATTGCCACGACCGGGTATGCTCTATGAGGTATACACTGACGCGTCCAAACACGGACTCGGATGCGTGTTGATGCAGGAGGGACATGTAATCGCTTATACGTCGAGGCAGCTGAAGAAGCATGAGGAGAACTACCCGACTCACGACATGGAGTTAGCAGCTTTCAACTAGTGTATGGGAAAGCTTGCCACCTACCGGTTGAGTTGGAGCATAAGGCATATTGGGCGATTAAGGCGTTGAATTACGACTGGAAAACCGCAGCAGAAAAACGAGTGCTAGAGCTCCACCACTTGGAGGAAATTCGTTTGGACGCATATGAAAACGCGCGGATTTACAAGGAGCGGGCCAAGAAGTGGCACGACCGGCACATCCTCAATCGAAACTTCCAACAAGGTGACCTCGTTCTTTTATTTAATTCTCGACTAAAACTTTTTCCAGGAAAACTGAAATCAAGGTGGTCGGGACCGTTCATCATAAAGAACGTCACCTCTCATGGAGCGGTAGAACTCGACAACGGAAAAGGCGGAACTTTCATAGTCAACACTCAAATACTCAAGCCATACAATCCAGGGAGTATTAGACCAGAAGGAGGTACCTCTGTACTCTCCCTCTCTTTAATCGATTGAACCGGATTTCGGTCTAGCTACGACCTTAACTAGCAACCCGGTTAATACCGGGATGTACATTCTTCACCTTCTTTGTTTCTTTTCTCTTTTCTTAATCAAGCCTCCAAAATTCCCTCGTAACAACCTCTTCGATCAAATACAACACGAGTGCGAGGAAAGATCCGTTTTGCATCGAAAAACTCGGAAAGTGAGCGGTCGCCCAAGGTATCCCAAGGATCTTTAGTAGTTTCACATCCTTGTATATGTTCAAACTCCTCAAGACAGACACTAGTGAAAATAATAGATAGCGCTGTCTGGTTCATGGCAGAGTCCCGCTTTTCTTGAGTTGTCCACTGGCTCTTTGGTTTCGCTTTGGCAATTCTATCGGTAATATCAGTCGATCGACTCCATCCGTCAGTAACTGCGCTCCAAGTATCTTCATCAAGCCCACAAAATATAAGAACTAATCTTGACTTTCCAATGCCCATATTTGATTGAGTCGAGCATAACAGTGTTTATCCGAGGGATTGTAACTTCTTGAAACCTTCCATCGTGTGAATCTGAATCTTACACCGATATGAGAGGAAATATTCCTACAATCAGTGACCTGCTCTGATACCAATTGAAAAAACACTATCACACGATTTTTCAATTCAAGAATTTCCAAACTGATTCTATTTCTTTGATACGTGTCAAGTACACTTCAATCTTTTTCAAATAGCACTCAACCCACATAGTTTCTCTCCCCCTGAGTAAAACCCCAGTATCACATGAAATTCTATCAACCACAAACACTTTGTGTGCAGCACACACCACGTGTTACCCTAGACCTCGTCTAGGCCTAGTGAGCTGTTCGTCTGTTATTTAAGGCTATCCCTCATATCTACCTCACATTCTCTCAGATATCTCTCACCAGTGTTTCCCTTACAGTCTCTCATTGATCTCACACTCAATGCTCTGCAATAGCAATCTTCTCGACTACCTCTTCTGTTGCATAATATTATGTATTTATGGACTTCTCTCTATGATTCTCCAAATATGTTTCGAATATGTCCTTTGCCTTTTTCCTCTTTGATGTGTATATCTTTTTCCTGTTTCTTTCATTGTTTGCTTTCCAGATTTGTTCCATCCTTCCATTTATCGATTTGAACCTTATAGATATTGAATATGTTGTTTCATTACTTTAACATATTTGAAAAAAACTAGTTTTATCAATAAAACCACAATCGAATTCTAAATTAAATAAAACTAAATAAATCGCCCAAGGTATCCCAAGGATCTTTAGTAGTTTCACATCCTTGTATATGTTCAAACTCCTCAAGACAGACACTAGTGAAAATAATAGATAGCGCTGTCTGGTTCATGGCAGAGTCCCGCTTTTCTTGAGTTGTCCACTGGCTCTTTGGTTTCGCTTTGGCAATTCTATCGGTAATATCAGTCGATCGACTCCATCCGTCAGTAACTGCGCTCCAAGTATCTTCATCAAGCCCACAAAATATAAGAACTAATCTTGACTTTCCAATGCCCATATTTGATTGAGTCGAGCATAACAGTGTTTATCCGAGGGATTGTAACTTCTTGAAACCTTCCATCGTGTGAATCTGAATCTTACACCGATATGAGAGGAAATATTCCTACAATCAGTGACCTGCTCTGATACCAATTGAAAAAACACTATCACACGATTTTTCAATTCAAGAATTTCCAAACTGATTCTATTTCTTTGATACGTGTCAAGTACACTTCAATCTTTTTCAAATAGCACTCAACCCACATAGTTTCTCTCCCCCTGAGTAAAACCCCAGTATCACAAGAAATTCTATCAACCACAAACACTTTGTGTGCAGCACACACCACGTGTTACCCTAGACCTCGTCTAGGCCTAGTGAGCTGTTCGTCTGTTATTTAAGGCTATCCCTCATATCTACCTCACATTCTCTCAGATATCTCTCACCAGTGTTTCCCTTACAGTCTCTCATTGATCTCACACTCAATGCTCTGCAATAGCAATCTTCTCGACTACCTCTTCTGTTGCATAATATTATGTATTTATGGACTTCTCTCTATGATTCTCCAAATATGTTTCGAATATGTCCTTTGCCTTTTTCCTCTTTGATGTGTATATCTTTTTCCTGTTTCTTTCATTGTTTGCTTTCCAGATTTGTTCCATCCTTCCATTTATCGATTTGAACCTTATAGATATTGAATATGTTGTTTCATTACTTTAACATATTTGAAAAAAACTAGTTTTATCAATAAAACCACAATCGAATTCTAAATTAAATAAAACTAAATAAAATAAAATCTATTTTAATATAAAAAGTTACAAACCGAACGACTATTTCTTTTCTAAAACTGAAATAACCGAACTTGATCTGAATGGAATTCTAAAATGATCATCACCCCCTGATTTTTTATACTGGATTTGGCAAGATTCATTATCCAAATTTTTATTTGAATTCGAATTTAAATAGTTTATGGATTCCCTACATCCAAGATAAAGATTGAAAATATAAATACCAAAATACCGTCGATTTTAATTATGATTACAAAAATTAATCTAAACTCATCTCTCTTTTACATTGTGATGAGGTCATCCTCCTAGACTTGGAAGAGGACGAACACAAGGGGGTGGACCAGGACATTGAAGTGGAGCCGAGCAGGGAGATTGGAACCAACAACAACAACACCGGCGATGCTATCTTTCCGTCTATGCTAGAACCACTACTCATGAGGTCAAAGATACGAACATGGCAGGCCAAAGTAAGGGTTCTCATGGCCCATTGGATCAAGCAAACAACTTCCAAGATGGAGGGAATAAACGAGAAGGCACCTAGCAAGACAAGGATGATTCTCGGCCTTGCTTTGGCCGAGAATGAAAACTGATTTCTATTCCTTGGAGACTTGCTAAATCTGGAATAACACTTCATCTACACATGGTCAAGTCTCCACATGAATAAGAGGCTTCGAAATTAGGCAACTATCCACATCAAAGCCACATCACCACATCAAATCTGCAAGTAAGGGAAGTGAGCCAATTTCAAGCCACATCAGCATATCAATAAGGAATGATCTTGAGCTAGCAAATGACATGGAGAATCAGATTATTTTCTTGCCAAAACACTACCTAGCCGTTGGAGAATCAGCAAGAAATTGATCTTGAAGTTTCTTTTTTCTAGCTAAAGACAATTTTCATTTCTATCTTTTTCCATTTTCTTGTTGCCTATTGTATTTCTTTTTTTTTTTTTTGCATTTCTTCTTCTTCTCCCTATAAAGGAGGACGAGGACGAAATATATGTCTGCAAATCAGAATTTGAATAAAGCTTTGAGTATTTCTTTTATCTCTTCTTGGTTTGTCCGAGAAACACTTTGCTTGGTGTGTCTGAGCCCCATTCTTGGTGTGTCCAAGAATTCTATCCCTTTTCCTTTTATTTTCTTCTGTAATTTCGACCCTAAACCTTAGAGTGAGTGTCATAAGACCAGAACTTCAGGTTTAAGTCATTATCCCACGAAAAATCCCAAAACAAAGTCCCTTTTCCTATAGTTCACCGAAAAACTTTTAGGTGACTGAGGTGCGTATCACATTGGTTCTCGGATACATCTGTCATTAGAAAGTATTGAAATTTCATTACCGTTAGTAAATGATTAGTTTCATTACAAATTGGAAATTTTTATTTTTCGAAATTTGACAATTTATTGAAACTTCTTGGAACTTGTCTTTTAATATGTTTTGGATGAGGATTTTTTATATATAAAGGGAAAGTAAAAAAAATCAATGAAATTTGAGATAACTAAATATTTACATCAAGATGCCACGTAGGAAGGTAGAAATGTGACATGATGCACACGTTTGAGAATTTGTAGAAGGCTCTGCGAGCAGCCGAGGCAGTTATCCTCCTTTCTCCTCTTTCGGCCGTTTTCTTCAGTTTCACTAGATGGCGTCGATTTCCGCCGTCTGCTCTCTCCTTCCATTGCCGACGCTCGCCGGAGCTTCTTCCTCCTCCGTATGCCGCTGTGTCCTTCATCGTTTCTTCTCCATCGTCTCTTCTTCTTCTTCTATAACGGAATATCTCACTCTCGTTTATCTTTCTCAGAGATGGCGGAGGACGGTGGCTGCTCGATTGGCTGATCAATCAGATGAATTCTCTCTTCATTATTGTGGTTAGTCGCTTTTGTTAATGGGAATAATGATTTTCCTGGTTTGGATTCTTAATTGTGTTAGAAGTTGAGCAAATTGGTTTTGATCAGGTGGGAGTTGCGAACCTGTTTTTTGCGCTGGAGATTTCGATCGAAGAAAACTCTTGGTTTCTTCTGTCAGTATGTTGGTGGGTGCCTTGGTAAATGCTGCTCAAGGAGGATCAGCTGCAGCTGCTGAATTCGCTGACAGTAGGATTTTGTTTCTGTTTTAAGGCAAAGCATCTTTGTTAGAATTATGTTAGGAATTAAAATTTTGTTGCGATTCTGATCATGTAGCTATGCATAGGAAGAAAATTCACTTCTGATTTTATAGCTATGAGTCCCTTCCTTTCCACGTTACGTTATCCGAGAGAATAAGAACCCTAGCTGTGACCATTCGTCAACCCAAGATGTGTATTCGCACTGAACCAGTTAGTGAGTATATATGTGCCAAGAAAACATTGAATTTGACAGGAGCATTGCTTTTACTATGATTGCATGATTGAAATCTCAAATCATCAATAATGCAGTTTGTAATCCGGAACCCCTTGTGTCGCCTACATCCCTTGTTTATTTTCTTCGTGCGTTTGTCTTTGAACCTTTTGTAACAAGTTGGGCATTTTTAATATATATGCTCTACCTTGAAGGGGCATATTAAGATTATGCTATAATCAGACTTTGTGAATAGAAGTCCGGTAAAATGTGGAGGGTACTACTTGGTATATGGTATTCTGGTTCAGCAAACTTTCATCTGTTAATTTTCATGATTTTGATCTCTGCTATTGATATCTGTAATCATCAATGTTTTCTTTTACTTGTGTAAATTTTTTTAAACATACTTCTGTATATAGTGCCAGCTCTTAGAGGGAAAGATTACGGCAAAACAAAAATGAAGTATCCGGATTATACGGAGACGATATCAGGTCTTCAGTATAAGGTCATACCTCATCAGTACCAAATAGCCTTCCATTAGACTTATCGGTTAAATCCAGTCGTATGTTCATCTTTATAACTTTGACAGTTGAAAATAGTGCAGGATTTGCGAGTAGGAGCAGGGCCTAAACCAAAGAAAGGAGAGACAGTTGTGGTAAGGAAATTTTGATGCAGTTATGGTTTATCTTTTTGTGCATATTTACTCTTCAATTCCCACATATAAGGGTTGGGATCAGTTTTAGATGGATTTGAAGATTGCAGACTAAAAAACCGAGTTTGCTTATTATGCTTCAAAGTCCTAGTGCGACAGTTTATTTGTGCCTTGGAGCTACTGATGCATATACTGGGCCTGGCATCTTAGGTGGATTGGGATGGTTACACAATAGGTTACTATGGCCGCATATTTGAAGCTCGCAACAAAACAAAAGGGGGTTCTTTTGTGGTATGAACTGATCATTTTCTCCTGGTTTCATTAGCTACCGGAAGTCTCGTCCTTAGTTTCTAACTCTTTCTCCTAAATCTGCAGGGTGATGAGAAAGAATTTTTCAAATTTACCTTAGGATCTCATGAGGTGATTATAACATTCTATATTTCTGAGTCCTAAACACATACTATCTGGCTCGTGTATTAATCAGGGGACGATTTTTCGCCTCGAGCTCATCACAGCCCGAGACTGAAATGTGGTGTGTGGGTTGTTCTGTACACTTGTGAGAGTTTGAGTCTCTTTGGGCTGAATGATTTCAGCGTTTCAGGTAATACCCGCATTTGAGGAAGCTGTCTCCGGGATGGCACTAGGCGGTATCAGAAGGTGCATCGTATGTTGGAGTATAGAAACATATAATAGCATGAGAACTTATATATCCGTTTGGAGTCAAACACAAAAACTTATTGTGTCCATTCTCTTTCTAAGCCTATTTTCTATAAGCAGAATCAGGGCATCATGAATTGGAGTTATAATAATATATGATTTCAAAACCTTGTACGGTGTCAAAATCTGATCTAACACTTTCACTGGTGATGGCAGGATCATTGTACCTCCAGAACTAGGATACCCGGAAAACGACTTCAACAACAGCGGTCCAAAGCCGACAACTTTCTCGGTGAGTATCATCGATACCATTGGCTGAGTGATGATCCGCCATTGTTAATATGTATAGTGTATAAACGGGTCATTATGATGCAGGGTCAAAGAGCACTAGATTTTGTGCTGAAGAACCAGGGGCTCATCGACAAGACTCTTCTCTTTGATGTGGAACTCCTCAAAGTCATACCAAACTGAACTGATCAACCAGAATGATGCCAAAATCACATGGACATGTAAATATTTTAATCTTTAAGCTTATTAAGATATTCTCAAAGCCTCCTTTATGCATTGGTAAAAAACGTCCATAAGATAAGATCACATGATCGATTTTTGAGCTCCTTATGCTTGCATTGCATGAGGCCCACGGTAAAATGTTGGGGTTTCTGGTAATCTGAATTAAATAGGGATCAGGGTTCATATGTTGGAAGATAAAAAAAATTTAAACCCTAGAAACCGAACGTACGATCTCAGGATCTCAAGGTACTAACATCTTTAAATTGAAGGGATTTAACTAACATGTGATCTGAGACCTCTAGATATGTAGATTTAGAATCACCATGAGGTGTGTGCGCCAACATCTTATATAGATATTCATATGATGGGATGGAGTCCAATAACTTGGATATGTTAGGATTAAAGAACTCGTTCTCTCTTGTGCACTAGGTTTTTAGGAAGCTCATGAGTTTTTTCTAGACCTTAGAGCTGCTCGTAGGTCGTGTGACGACTTACCCAAAGTATAGGAGACGACCTCCTTTTATATCCTCATCCAAAAACTTAAATTTTCCAAAAAAAAACGATAGTTTTCATAAATCTTAATCGGTTCGATTTGCTATTAAATCGGTCTAGTTTAATTCAAAATGAATCGGTTTAATTTTATGAGTAATCAATTTCTAAATTGAATCGGTTTGGTTCAAAGCTACAACGGTCTAACCCAAGTTTACGAGAAAAATATGATTTTTCTCATCAGAACACCGATCCGATTGTGTAACGTTTACTCAATCGTGTCGCATTTCAAATGGACACGTTTTTTCGTCCATCCCTATTGTGTATGATATGTCGGCTCGTTCGAAATGAAAGTGGCCCCGGTATCTAATTTCGTTCTACAAGTTATAAGTGACATCTAGTAAGACATTATTATCACTCCTAAAGAATAGATTTAGAGATAATCTAACCAAAAGTCGGTAATAACTCAAGTAATGATTATTTTGTTACGATATTATTTGTCGAACGTAAAATTATGGAACCAACCACCTTAATAGATGCGACTGTTTTTTCATTCATTCAACACACTATAATTCGTAGATGACGATTATTTATAGTACGATCAAACATTTCCACAATCTTATTCATTCGAGAGACCCATCAATATTTTTCTCATTACGAAAAGAACAAATCTTATTTTAACTATCTATTATCATTGTACATAATTGTAACATACCTGAGCAACGTCGTTATAATCATTCGACTAAATATGATGTTTGACACAACCAATACACATTACTACTCATGTCGGATACCATAGATATCACAA